CTAGGTTCAATTCCCGAATCCTGCTTTAAAAAAAATGAAATAAAAGTGTTTCTAGTTGCTGGTAAGCTCTAGTCTGACCCAGCATAAAGCCTCTCCCTCCTCTTTTCTGGCTGTCTGCTCCCAAGGTATTTTAAATTACAGTTCCCATTTTTTTTGCTGGGTATGGTGGCGTAGACCTTTAATCCCAGAATTGAAAGACAGAGGCAGGTGGATCTCTGTAAGTTCCAGGTTAGTCTTGTGTGTCTACATAGTGAACTCAAGGCCAGCTGGGGATACATGGTAAGACCCTGTCTCAAAAAAATAAAACAAACAAAAAAACCTTCAATGACAACCAACAAAAACCCAACTCCAAACTTTTTTTCCCAGGTGCTACAAGGCATTTAGGTTGCAGGCTACACATAGTATTGAAGCTACTTAGGCTCTATGGACCCTAACCCACCCTTCTCTAATCTTGCTGCTCAGGAAGTGTGCTCTGTAATATCATCTCCCACAGCACCCCATGTGTTTTCTCCATAGTATAGAAGCTACCTCTTCTATCTGAAGTGGTGACTGCCTCTTTTGCACCCCAAATTCCTGTCCTGAGAAAACTTTGCTACCTGTACAGACAGTTGCTATCTCTGTAAGGCTATGGTGTCCAGTTATGTGATGCTGCCACGTGACATTTCATGGAGGAAAAAGGCCAGGGTTTCTATCCAGCTTTCCCCAGCACTTGGTACCCTACCTTGCACACAGTGGGCATTCAATGACTACTTGTGGTCTGATGTGCAGTAAGGGTCCAAGCAAGTGTGAAGCAAAGCTTGCCATGAGTTCCCATCACAGTGCTTTGGGCAAAGACTGCCTTCCAACATGGTCATTTTTTTCTGTCTTTATCGGGTTCCATGTGTTTTCTGAGTTTTTCCCATCTCTTTGAAATCATTCTTTTGCTCAGTGTTAGAGCCCTTGCCTAACATGTGAGAGGTCCCAAGTTCAATTCCCAGAACTGCACATGCACAGCAAAATTCATTTTATTGGTTCTGCTATCTTTAGGGCTCAAACAGTTGCACACAGTGCCTTTTATGAATCTTTTTCTCAGTATTGTTATGAACCGGGGCCAGGAGCTTAATTAGATGCTTGGGTAGTGATAATAGTTAATGTTTTCTTGCTGGTGCTTGGCTTGAGCCTATGAGTTCTCTCAATGATTTCCCACAACAGTTCTCAGGTTAGTCATTATTAGTCCTATTAAATAGAAACGTAGGTTTGGAAAGAGCTTTGATCTGAGCCACATTGCTAATTATGCACCAGGGTCTGGATTGAACTCCAGATTCTGATTCCATACACCATCTCCTTTCTAAATGTGGAAATAGAGCTGCTATCAAGTTTTGGAAAGCAGTTTAAAAAATATAAATAGCACACTTGTCGGAAAATTCATTTGCTTTGAGTTGTGTATGTATGTGTATACATGTTCAGTGTTTGTGTGCATATGCAGAGGCCAGAGATTCACATTACATATCTTTTATCATTCTCCATTTGACTTTTAGAGACAGGGCCTCTCACTGAACCTGGGACTTGCTGACTGGGCTAGTCAGGGATTCTCTCTGTCTCTGCCTTCTAGTGCTGGGATTCCAGGCTTTTTCCATGAGGGCTGGGGATGGAACTCAGTTGTTATGCTTGTACAGCAAGTCCTTTTCCCCACGGAGTCAGCTCCCCAGCCCCAGCTTTGAGATCTTCAAAAAGAAGATTTATTCAGTTTAGTAAGACTGCAGAATCAGGGCAATGTGGCAGCTGTGTGGGCTCAGAAGAGATTAGGAGCTGGTTAGACCAGCATGTGGCTTCCTGCTGTCCTTGGTGTTTTCACTTTATGGATCAGGAGGTGTACAAGACAGCTCCTTCTGCGCTAACAACCGTGCTACTTACCAGTATCTTCAGAGATGGGCTACTGTGTGAGTGAAGAATGGGGGTGTCAGTTTTCTGGCCTTGCCCTTCTTTGGGAGCAAGATTGTGCTTAGGAACAATCTTAAAAAACAGTGAAGACACATCCTGTCTCTGACTCTAGAAAATTTAGTTTTTGGTAATTACAGATTGTTCTTTGACATGATAAAATCCATTGTCAATGTTTTTTGTGGAGAAGAACAAAATTTAACATCCCTCTCCAACAGAGTCTCACTAGGTAGCCCTGGCTATTCTGGAACTCACTATGTAGACCTGGTTGGTCTTGATCTCACATAGATCTGTTGGTTTTGAAGATGTGTGTCACCATGCCTGGCTTAAAACTTAACTTTATTTAAAAACATCTGAATCATAAGGTAGAATTCAAAGCTTTGTTTTATATCATGAGGGCTATATTAAATATGTAGAGACTACTATTAATATTGAGTAAACCATCCTGTATATATACTCTTAAACCATAGTGTCATCTAGTTAGGCACACACATGCAATCTCACCATGCGAGAAGCAGAGGCAGGGGGATTGCCACAAATTCAAGGTCACCCTAGTCTACAGAGTGAGTATCAGTCTAGTTAAGTCTACGGATAATGAGATCCTGTCTCAAGAAGCCATAACAATAACTACAACAACAGTAACAAAAATGATACCCATCTAAGTAATCAGAATTGTACCCATAATAAAAGGGGGAGTGAATGGCCCTAGCAACTAAAACTAGATGCTGTTCAGTCACACACTTTTATTATTTACTTTTTTATTTACTCTTGTTTTTTCAAGACAGGGTTTCTCTGTGTAGCCCTGGCTATCCTGGAACTCACTCAGTAGGCCAGGCTGGACTTGAATCACAGAGATGCCTTCCTAGTGCTGGGATTAATGCAACACCACCATCACCCAGCCTCACACTTTTATAAAGTATGAAATAATCTGCAACCATTCCCATAAAGAATGTTACCTTTTATGGATAAGTGGTAAAAATATTGTTTACAAATGTAAGCACATGTATGATACTTGGGAAGTTTTGGGGTTTTTTTTTTTGCCTTTAAGTATTATATCAAAATTTCTTTATCACATTATTCTTACTCAGTGAAATAGAATACATGGATGTCACTGACTAAAAATGCATCAAATATCAAGAAATGGTTACTGTACACAAAAGAACTAGAAAGTCCAAATGCTTATGGTATGATGTAGGCTAAGATCTAATGGCTGGGGGCTGGAGAGATAGCTCAGTGGTTAAGGGCACTGACTGATCTTTCAGAGGACCCAGGTTCAATTCCTAGCACCCATATGGCAGCTCTCAACTGTCTGTAACTCCAAGATCTGACACCCTCACACAGACATACATGTAGACAAAACACCAATGCACATAAAATATAAATAAATAAATTATAATAAAGGTCTAATGGTTGGTTGACAGAAAGTGGAATCAAGGAGAAACTGAAAATAAAATTTGCTGTTTTTGTTTTTTTATTTTCTCTAGGCACTTGGGATGTGTCAGTTGGTCAGATGATTAGAACAGCTATCCCCAGTCTTAAAGGTCTGCTCAGCGTAGCATCCACCAAGCAAGAACAAAGCTCCTAGGTTCTGCCTATAGCACTGCAGAAATCAAAACCAGCCAACGCAAGTATCCAGCTTCTACTGGGGAAAATAGCCACACAAGAACAAAAATATGGAATAAATTGTGAAGCTTATTCTGGGGAGAAAAGAACAGGAGCAAGATGGGAAGGATTGGGCCTGTAGCAACTTAAGGTAGTGGATTTAGGCTAAGTGTCATTGTTACAGAATATCTGAGTGGAGTTGAGGGGTGAAGGTCGACATTAAAGAATGTCCTAGTCCCTGAGTGGCAGTCTGGAATATTCAAGTAGCAGTGAGTGGTTGGAGATGAATTCTGAGACTTACAGGGGAAAAAAAAATCCTAGGGACTTTGTTAGCCATTGCAAAGATCTTATCTTCTGCAGTAACTGGAACTCTGGTGGATTTTGATCAGATGAGACATGAGCTGACTCTCCATGAGGGAGGATAGTCTCCCTGCTGTTTTGACAACAAACTGGGCTGATGGGGGGGGGCGACACGGGGACGGGGGTGGGGGGGGAAGGACGGGACACTAAAGAAGGCTACTGACTATGTCTGGGGCCACAGATGACAGAAGCCATGTAAGTGAAAAGTTGTCTGATTTTGGTTTGAGTGTAGAAGCACACCAACTACTTTTATTGATAGAGTGGCTGTCAAAATGAGAATGAGAGGAACCAAGGAGTACTCCAGTTTTGGGATTGAACTGCTAGAAAATGTCTATCAATCGCGATGGGCAGCTAGCTCCATTTTTGAGTATGTGCGGCTAGATTTCAAGAGAAAGACGTTCATTCGTTTCTTGGTTCTGGGTACATAAAGAGTACAGCTAACATAGTCATAAAACAGAATGAGGAGGATGAGGCAGGAGGACTTCTGTGAATTCCAGGCCAGCCAGGATTCTACCCCCAAAAGACCTTAGGCCTGTGACACACACTTGTAATCTCAGCATTTGGGAGGTAGATGTAGGGGGATCATGAGATCCAGGCCAGTCTTGCTACATAGTGACTCTAACGCCATTTGGGGCTGCAAAGGACCCTGTCTCAAACAACAACAAAACAAAAAACCCACCCCACAAGAAGTCACAGAGATGCACTGGACACTTTTCACACATTTCAAATGCCAGGTAGATGTTTTTAGTTCTATGCCGGTCAGTGGCCGGTGATTCTGATTCCTTAAAAGCAATGTGACCGAGGGTTTGAGGTAAATAGTTCTCAACTGCCTCCAGCTGAGAGATACTGGTGCTGGCCTGCTCTACCCCGCAGAGCCCTCGCTTGCCCTGGAGCGTCCTTTTGCCGGAAGAGAAGGGGCTGTGGCCTCCACCTTCCCTACCGCCCACCCAGCGGGGTCACTTTGCGCGCGCCTGTAGTCTCCGGGGTCTTACCGCTCCCCCCCCCCACTGGGCGGGGCCTCGCGGCGGCCAGCCCGCCTACTGGAGGAACAGGGCGTGCCCTTGCGGGGGAGGCGTGGTCGCGCAGCCGTAGACACCGCCTGTGGCTCCGCCTCTGCGCGCGCGAGCCTGGGCGGGAGGGCGGAGCCCGAAGCAGGGAGTGCAGCTGCGGGTGTGTGGAGACCCTAGGAGCGGTAGAGCCGGCGCTCAGAGCCGCGCGGCCAGAGCTGACGGCCGAGACAAAGGCGACGGTGAGTGTAGAGAGGGCCTTACGGTGGCCCCGCGGCCCGAGGCGCCAAGTGCAGAGCCGCCGTCCGGAAAGCTGAGGGCGAGCGCGGCCCGGGCCTCGCCGCGCTGCGGATTGGGGCTGCGGGTTGAGGCTGAGGCTGTGGCGGCTCCATTTTTCAGGTTTGGGCGAGGTCCTCACGCGAGGACCGGCGTGTGGTGCTCTTCATTCTCTGTGAGGCCGGCTTCCCCCGTAGCCTGTACCCTCCCGACGGGGGAGGCGCTGCGGACCCCTCCCCCAGCCCGCAGCCCCGCTAGTCTGAACCGGCGCGGAGCGACCGGGCTCCCGGACCCCGACTTCTGTCCGGGACCCCGGGAGAGGAAGCCGGGCCGCCGCCTCGCAGTGACTCCCGGGACTCTTACAGGTTGTTGCACCGGGAGCTCGCAGCCGCGGTGGTGAGCATTACTAACGGGTGTGGTAGGTAGCGGCTCGCTGACGTCGCGTTCCGAGCTGAGAAGCAGCCCCTGGCCGGCTCATTTCGCGTAACCCCGGGAATTCCGCTTCAGGAGCAGTGATTGCTGCTGATAACCTTTCGTGGGCGAGTTTGGTGGTGATGTGCAGAGCTCAGAATTGAAGCGTTCTGGGGCCGGGAGTGGAGCTCAGTGGTAGAGAACTTGCCTAGCACGCCAGAGGCCCGAAGTGGTTCAATCCTCAGCAGCCCCGCCCGCCACAAAGAAAAAAGGAAAACTGTAAATGCGTTATTAAAGGACCGAGCATGTAATACGCGCTCAGTAAAACACTGGTGCAATGAATGAATCTGGAAACACCAGACAGAGCTGATCCTTCTAGTACCACTAGGAACATACTCTCTTGATTCTGATGAAGGACTGTTGGTGTCCCCTGCTCCATGTAAACTATTGGTAACTTTTTCACAGTCATTGCCAGCTTTGTAGACAGTACACGTGAGATGTGAACTTTTGAGAGAAGTTGCTTTTCAGTTTTCTATTTCCTAACAGGCCCTATTTGTCATCCTCTTTGAAAATACTGGAGACTATAAAGGTGTTTGGGGTGTATTTTGAGGCCTACCTTTCTATTTTGTAGGAGTAGAGAAGTGTATGTGCTTTTGAGGGACTGTGGCATGGTCTTGAGAATCTGTCAGAGAGAGCTCTGAACTTTAGGGGAGGGGACCTACTGTTTCCCTGGTGGTTAAACGTCACCATTTATTCAACAAACTCACTAAACACCTATTCAGTGCAGAGAGACCCATGTTGGATGCTGTCTGTGGAAGGGACAAAGTCCCAAATTATTTCTCTCTTAAGCTTGAGCACGAAGTTCATTCTGTGGTGTCCAAGTAGCAAATGAGGACTTCCTCAAACTCACTTTATTTAGGAAAGATGGCTGGTGAACTTCCGGAAGTGTTAATTCATAGCAGTCTGTTTAAAAGTTAATGAGTAACTCTTTAAGACTAAGATTGTTGGGTTATAGTTTCATTTGTCAGCTTAATAAAATCCGTGTAGATTTTAAAGTGACAGGAAAGAATGGTTTCAACAAGATGGTGTTTCTATTCTCTCCTGAACTAGATTTTGATGCAATGCTTTTATTGACAGTGTGATTTCAGATGTGTTTCAGTAAGAATCTTTGTAATAATGTTTTCTATACTAAAAAACAAACAAACAAGAAAACCCCCAAAAACAACCTGGGTGGTGGTGGCAGTAGTGGCGCACACCTTTAATCCCAGCACTCGGGAGGCAGAGGCAGGCAGATCTCTGTGAGTTCCAGGCCAGCCTGAGCTACAAAAGAAAAAGAAAAAAAATTCCTGCTTAGAGGTTAAACCAGCCCTTGCTGTTCTAGAGGATTGGAGTTAAATTCCCAATACCCACACCTGATGGCTCACAAACTGTCAGTAACATCATCTCCAGAGGATATGACGCCCTCTTCTGGTCTTCATGGAGCACTTGAATATAGGTGACATATAGACACAATTACAAAACAGTAATTAAAAAAAAAATCCCAGAGATGGGCAGGGAGTGTTGGTTGGTTATGAAGCCGCTCAATCACCAGCACCACAAACTGGTGTGATAGTTTGACCCTTAATGCCAGCACCTGTGAGGCTGGACGAGGAAGGATCATGAGTTCAAGGTCTTCTTTGGCCTATTTAGCAAACTTGAGGCCAGCTTGAACAATACGCAACAACAATAACAAAGAAAAGCCCTTGAAGATAAGTTAGTAGCTTTCTTTTTTTGTTTTGGCTGTTTTAGCCATTTTATTTTATTTCATTTTTAACAGAGCTGGGGATGCATACATGTACCAGATTCTGGGTTCCATCTTCAGTACAACAAAAGAAGGGGTTGATGGGTAGATAGAAAGAAATGTCTTAAATGAAGAACCTCTTCAGCAATTTTGTTTTGGCTCCTTGTTTGCCTTAAAAAAATACTACTGACTAGGTAGTGCTGACAAGAGGATTATTGCTAATAATATGCATGATGCTGTTTGAGCTTTCCTGCTAGAATGACAACTATGATAAAATTGCTTATTAAAATGGAGGGTAGAGGCTAGGCATTGTGGTGTGCACCTTTAAGCATAGCATTTAGGAGGCAAGAGGCAGGTGGATCACTGTAAGTTTAAGGCCGGCCTGGTTTGCATATCTAGTTCCAGGCCAGCCAGAGCCACAGAACAGCGAGGGGGAGGGGAGAGGAAGACTAACAAAGGATGTGGGCCGAGGATGTAGCTTAGTTGCTAATGTGTTTAACATGCATGAGATGCATGAGACCTTGAGCCCCAGCACTACATAAATTGGAGTACATTACTATAATCCTAGCCCTGAGGAGGTGGAGGTAGAGGCAGGAGGATCAGAAGTTAAAGGTTATCCTTGGCTGCTTAACAAGTCCCAGTCCAGGCTAAGCTACATGAGACCCTATTTCAAAACAAACCCAACCAACAAAACAATACATCCCTCTCCAAAAAACAACCCAAATGGTGAAGACTTAAGATGTGTAGTCCAGTTGGTAGAGCATTTTCCTAGCATACATGAAGCCTGGCTTTGATCCCTCAGATCTGTTTAAAGGAGGGGGTGGTGGTGCACTGCCCAGTTGCCTCAGGAAGAAAGAGGTGGAGAGCATCGTTGCATTTACTACGAACATAAAGTTTGTTGTCTTTTGTTGCTGTTGGGTGAGGTCAACCCAGAGCCTCATGTGTTCCACCTCAGTTTGCACCACTAACTTGATTTCATTTTATTTTTATATTTTTGTGTGGTTTAAAAACAGTGAAATTATGTGCCACGTTGACTTTCTGGTCAAAAGCATTGACTTTTTATGGCTGTTCCTAGCAATAATAAGGGAAGCATACGTTTGATTAGAATGTTTTGATTTTAGATAGGTAGAGATCCCAATTTTCAGAGGTTTTTTTTTTCTTCTAGGAATAATATAAATAACCCCAAACATGTTATTGGTAGAGAATCTTGATAGTTCTCTCTCTTTTTAAATGAAGATCTAAAAAATTTGTTCATGTATTTTAAGAATATGAAGGCTTTATTTGCATATATCCCTATATTCTAGATGCATCAAATCCCATTATAGATGTTTGTGAGCCAACATGTAGTTGCTGGGAATTTAACTCAGGACCTCTGGAAGAGCAGCCAGTGTGCTCTTACATGCTAAGCTATCTCTTCAGCCCCTCTCTTTCTCTTTTAAAAATTCTTTATAGATTTTATTTTAGGTGTAAGAATGTTTTGCCTGCATGTATGTATATATACTATATTTGTGTCTGGTGCCCATGGAGGTCAGAGGAGGTGTCAGATTCCCTGGAACTGGAGTTATGGATGGTTGTGAGCCAAGTCACCATGTGAATGCTTCAAATTGAATCCAGATTATCCATAAGAGCATCTGGTGTTCTAAACAGCTGAGCCATCTCCCAGCCCTTAGTTTCTTTAAAAAAATAAAAATAAAAATAAAGATTTCTGTTTTTATTTTTCTTAAATTTTCTTAAAACATTTTTTTGAAGCAGGGTTTCTCTGTGTAGCTCTGACTGTCCTGGAAACTTGCTCTGTAGACAAGGCTGGCTTCTATTTCAGAGATCCCCTTGCCTCTGCCTCCTAATGCTGGGGCTAAGGGCGTGTGCCACCACCACCTGGCTTTGTTTTTATTTTTAATTATGTGTATTTATGTGTCTGGGTCTGAGTATGTGCACATCAGTGAAAGTAAGTGCCTGCAGAGGCCAGAGGAGGGAATGGAATCCCCTGGAGTTAAAGGTAGTTGTGAGCCGCCAGATGTGGGGGCTAGGAACCAAAGTTGGTTCCTCTGTAAAAGTAGTATTTGCTCTTAACTGCTGAGCCATCTCTCCAGCTTTGACAGTTCTTTAAATGTTACTTTTCTTGTAGCAAGAGTTCTATGAGGATATACACCACATAGTTTCGGTCTGTAGAATGCCGTAGTGTCTGGGTTTTCATAAAGTATACTCTATCATAGTCATATGGTGAGGAAATCACCTAATGATATATTTTACAGAATGTCTCCATCATTGAATGATGTTTGACTCCTTCAGAAGTTCAAATTAATGTTCTGCAAAGTCCATCTCCATCATTACAAGGTAATGAGGATTCACCACCGTTTTTACAGTTAGCTTTTGAATTTAGTCAGCTCTTGTGACTTACCAGTGCCTGAAATATTTTATCCTTGTGTAGATGGTGTGAACATTCAAATAGGACTGTCCAAGTTTAGATTTTGGCTGTTAGCTTTTTTATGGCTATTCTTAGGCATAACAAAGGAAGTCATGAGTACCTGAAAACAAAACTTTCTGATTTTAGGCTTACTGGCTGTTTGCTTTTTTATTGTAGTTGTTCTTAGGACCAGTAAAAAAAGTAACCCCTCAAATTTTAGTGGTAGAAAGTTGTGATAGTTTTAGAAGGTTTGTTTCTTGTAGGAAGTTATTTGATAACATACCATGACTGCCCAGTATTTACAAGAAACTTTAAGGTAAATGATTGCAGAGCCAGTATAAAGAACATTGAGGGGGTGGTGATGCTGTCTGATATGACATTCTTCCTTCACAAGGGTGGCTGCTCACCCTTGGCCAGCTTGAGGATCCACAAGAGTGGGGCCTATGCTAGTTCCCCGTGGCCAGTGGAAGGAGGACTCTCTTTTGGTTATTTAATAACCCTGCAGAGATCCGAACTGAGTGATTGTTACTCAACATATGTCTTCTAGATGCTTTTGAGCCTGAGGCTCCTTCCTATCTGAGAGTTCCAGGTGGACTGTCACCTGGGTTGGTAGATGACTGTGGCGTGCGTGCGTGCGGTGTCTTTGTGACTTACGCTATTTGCATTTCTTCTGTAAATGTGAGCAGTGTTCAGAAACAGAAGGTGAGGGTCATGAGGTCAGAGGATGACCTGTTCTTTCTGAATGTGTCTGAGTACTTGTATGCATGTGTGTGCATATTTGTGAGCAGAGGGTTGAGGGAGGAAAGGGTTAAGTGGAGAAGGTAGTGCATAAGCAGGAGGTAGAATTCCTTGGCAGAAAGTAGTTATTAAATATAGCTGTGTCTGGTGCTGGAAGGTAGTTCAGCAGCACTGGCTGCTCATCCAGAGGACCCTGGTTTGATTCCCAGCACCCACCCAGCAGCTACCAACTGCCTATTACTCTAGTTCCAGGGGATCAGACTTGCCTCTCCTGGTCTCTGAAGGCACAGCACACACATGGTACACAGACATACACGCAGGGAAAATGCTCATAAATGTAAAAATAAAAACAAGTAAGTCTAAAACAATTAAATATAGATGTGGCTGATGGAGAGTTACTTGATGAGTAGAGAATTTCTGTTCTGTAGATGAAAAGTTCACAATGTGATTGCTTACTCCCAGTGTACTGAAAATGGATAAGATGTTACGTATTTTACCTCAGTGAAAATTTAAATTGGCAGAAATGTTTGTATATACACGTTTTTTTTTTTTTTTTTTTTTTACGAGACAGGGTTTCTCTGTATTGTTTTGGAGGTTATCAGTCCAGCCCGGCCTCGAAATCACAGAGATCCGCCTGCCTCTGCCTCCCGAGTGCTGGGATTAAAGGCGTGCGCCACCACCGCCTTTTTTTTTTAATAAATTTTTTTAATAAATTTTTTTAAATAAATACTCTAGACTTATCAGCATTTGGATGTAGTTAAAAACAAAAAAATAAAGAACTTGCCGGGTGTTGTTGATGCACACCTTTAATCCCAGCACTCAGAGGCAGAGGCAGGCAGATCTCTGTGAGTTCCAGACCAGCCTGGTCTACAAGAACTAGTTCCAAAACCACAGAGAAAACCGTGTCTCCAAAAAACAGAACTCATAATTTTTGGTATTTAAAAAAATACTGTATGTTTTCAAAGTATATACTAACTTTGAGTTTTTATTTGAGGCTAAGTCAAGCCCAGGATGATATTATTTATAACTGTTAGAATATTTGAAATATTGAAATGTTGGTGGAGAGGTCTTTCTTCTTCTCCTTCTCCTTCCTCCTTTCTGTCTCTGTCTGTCTCTGTGCTCTCTCTCTCTCTCTTTCTCTCCTTTTTTAATATTCGGTTCTTTGAGAATTTTGACCATATTCACTCCTTACCTCAACTCCCATGCCCACTCCCCTTCCCAACTAACCCAACTCTGTGCTTTTTTTTCCCCTCCCCACCCATCAAGTTTAATTTGGGTTGCCCATATATTCATGGGTGTATGACATCCAGTGACAGCACTTAGGGAAAATTGATTCCCCTCTCTCAGAAGCTATCAGTTGCCAGTAGTACCTCTGCTAGGGATGTGACTTCACGTTTGCCTGCCTTCTCCGGCTGGGATTTTGGACTAGCTTGAGCTTGCACTGGGTTAATGTATGCTATGATAACTACTGTGAGTTCATGTGTGCAGCCGCCTGCCTATGTCTGGCAGACACTGTTTCCTTGTGCTCACTTAACACCTCAGACTTGTAGTCTCTGTCATCTCTCCTTTGAAATGATCCCCAAGCCTTGGGAGAAGAGGGTGTGTAGTACAGCTCTTCCATTTAGGGCTGAACACTCTGTAGGCTCTTGGTTACTTGTGGGTCTCTGTGTTAATCAACATCTACTGCAAATAGAAGCTTTACTGATGAGAGTTGAGAGATGAATTAATGTATAGAAATAACAATATGTCAGGAGTCAGTTTAATACTTTGTGCATTTAGCAGAGTAAGAATGGTATGTAACAGGAAAAATAAAAATCCAAAGAGATATTGGGGTTCAAGCTTCAAGCAAAGCAGCCAAGCCAGTAGATCTCACCTCTATCAAGCTGAAATTGCAATCCTGTCTCCATGAATCCTTAGAGGCAAAAGTTCTGAATTTCTGTCTCCTCCTGCCTTATATTCCTTTCTCCCTCAAGCCATATCACTGTCTCCACCTCCCTAGTGCTGGAATTAAAGGTGTGTGATCCCAAGATCAAAGGTGTGAACTCTGTTACTCTTCACTCTTGTGTAGGTCAGGGTGGCCTTGAACTTGGAGACATCCATCTGCCTGTCTCCTGAGTCCTGGGATTAAAGTGTGCCACCACTGCCTGGTTTATGGTTTGCTAGTATGGCTGCTGGGATTAAAGGTGTGTATCACCATTGCCTGACCTCTATGGCTTGTAGGTAATTTTGCATTCTGAACCCTCAGTCAAGCTTTAATAAATCATAAATGTCACCACAGATGTGGGTTCTCCCCTGAAGTCTATGAGCAGCCACAGGTTCTTTACCCAACATGGTGCCAGGTATAGATTTCATCTTATGGACCAGGATTTATATCCAGTTAGAAAGTGGTTATTTACTCCTATAACGTTTATGCCACTTTTGTGCCAGAGGACGTGTCTTTGCCAGATCTGCTGTGTAAGGTTCACAGCTGGTGAGACTGATTACTTCTCTTCTCCAGTAGCATTCATAGTATCTTCTGGAATTATGAAGGCTAGCTAGTAGTGATGAAGCTTCCAGGTTAATACCAGCTTAATATCGCCATTTTTTTGTGACTCAAGTACATAACATCATTAGCAATAGGGTCTTAACATGAAGTTCTCGAGGGTAACCAGTAGCATCAGTAAGGTAATGTAGTGTAGTGTCTAGGGGCTTATGGGACCCTAACACCTCCAAAAGAGTTCATTCCTGGCATTGAGTTCTTAGCTTGTGGTTTCTAGTTTGGGCATTGTTAACCTGTATAGGGGGACATTCTCATTCTCTCTCTCTCTCTCTCTCTCTCTCTCTCTCTCTCTCTCTCTCTCTCTCTCTCTCTCTCTCTCTCTGTGTGTGTGTTAGGAAGCTTCTGCAGTAATAGGCTTTTTGAGAAGGTTATTTATCTCCATCTTCCCCTGCCCTTCCACCCTCCACCCACTTCAGTTTAACCCTTCTTGTTCCATTAATCCCTTTTAAACAGTTATACAACTATTTTCAAGGCTTTCAGGAGTTGGAGTTGTGTATTTGTTGGGGGCAGTAGTTCATTTTTTGTAAGGGTGTGAAGGTGTCAGATCCCCTGGAACTGGAGTTACAGAAGTTGTAAGCTGTCATGTGGGTGCTGGGAATTGAAGCTAGCTAGGTTTTCTGGAAGAGCAGTCAGTGCTCTTAACCTCTGAGCCATCTCTCCAGCCCCTTGATTTCTCCTAGATTGATTTATTCATTTATTTTTGGAGACAGGTTTCAATGGAGCTCAGGCAGGCTTACAGCTACTTATGTAGTTGAGGATGGTCTTGAGTTTCTCATCCTCTTGGCAGAAGTTAGCTGAAACTGGTTTGTTATCCCATACAAACTGAAATGTCCAATTTTAGTAATAAGTAATTTTTGCCTGAAACTATACTACTTATAAATGTATGTAGTTAAAATGGATTATGGTAAAACCAACTCATTTTCCTAGAAAATGCTATATGAATTCACATTAAATCTGATTTTTTTTAAAAAACAGGGATTACATGACTCCTGATCAATTTTGTTTACTGATCTAGAAATTCATGCTACAATTTCTTATGACATCTTCATGGTAGAATTTTTTTTTTTTTTATGAGACAGGGTTTCTCTGAATTGTTTTGGAGGCTGTCAGTCCAGCCTGGCCTTGAACTCACAGAGATCCGCCTGCCTCTGCCTCCCGAGTGCTGGGATTAAAGGTGTGCGCCACCACCGCCCGACTCATGGTAGAATTTTTAAAAGTGTATTGTATCAAAGCACAAAAATGATTTTTGTTCTATCTGGTTTATCAAGTTTTCCATCTACTTTGACTTTATTTTTCTTTCCAGTGCTGGGGATGTGCCCTGGCTGTTAGAAGCTTACTGTTGAGCTGCATGTCAGTCTTCTGTTGTGACTTTTTGTGTAGGAAAGTAGAATAACCTGGACTCTGTCCAGAACTGTGGTTTGTTGTTGTTGTTGTTTTCTTCCTTATTGTGGGGAACTACAGGTCTCTATGCAGCTGATCTCCTCAGTGATGGGACTTGATAATGGCTTAAGTGGAAGGAAGGGTTCTCACTGTGCCATCAAGTCTTCCTTGCAGATTGATCTTTAGGTCTTGTGAAGATTGTGTAGCTTTTCTAGCTACTTAGATAATGAAATGTTCTAGTGTTTGTCAGTCAGTTCTAGTCTTATATTAGTT